GCAAAGAGGCCTCTGTAGGGGAGAGAGCAGTAGGTGCCTTACACTCCAACTACAATGTAATGGTATGCAGGGTTACATAAGCAATGAGCTGAATACCATTAAATACTTTTAGCTACAAGGTTTTTTTTTTCAGAAGATAAGAATCGAATAAGAACCTGTTTAGGCTAACTTGGGGAAAATGCAGGTTCCTAGTCAAGGGTTTTTGCTGTATTTTCGTTTCATGTTTATTTTTCATGTTTCTCTCGTTCTGGCCACAACATTCCTGTAGCGTCAGTCCCCTTCTTGTTTACCTAAAAGTGATGGTTGCCTACTCTCTCATTTTCCTATTTCTATAGCCAAAGTTTCTGCAAATTATTTATGTGTCAGTGTGCTATAGCAGATGTTTCAGGTGTAAATCATTTTAATAATTTTGGAAATATTCACAATTATTGTGTTTAGGACCATCTTCCTGAGCTGACGTTTGAGGATGTTAAAAATGTTACGTGGAACTGCAGTAATTATCCTCAGACGCCACAGGTATGTTTTTCATACTTAATACCTTATGGGATCCCTCGACTGTTTTTTGCAAAATATACTCATAATGTAAACATACCCGTACTTTTACCCATTCTAAAAGCTTTAGAAACTTGGCAAATACATGCAAATTTTCCGATTCATACTTGTATAAATACTAAATGGCTTCTGTTCATTACTATGAATTCTTGTTACTCTATGTAATAATAATTACAAGAGGTATACCTATTTGTAGTCACGTTACTGCTGTTTAATAAAACAAACCACTCTGCTGATTAGGACTGCTTGAGACTGTGTAGTGTTGTTTCTTGCGTAGTTTCAATTTGTGAATCTGTAAATAATAGTTTTTCCTGAAGTATCTAATACTCCTAACAAAAAGCATGTGAAAAAGACCTCTCAAAATGCAGATTTTAGACTGCATGAGAGAGCTATTTTTTTCAAAATGGCAAGTTGACTGCCCTTGGTAAAAAAAATGGTCGAAAAATGTATAGTACTTCCAGTTAACCCTGGGGCACAGGGAGTATGGGCAGTTAACCTGGGGCACAGTTGTTTCCTTTCCTTTATTTAATTTGGTTTTACTGGGGTTGGGGGGGAGGTATTTGGCAAGTGAAAACATATCTGGGGGAGTACAGTCTGATTGTTGAGTATTCAAAAAAATGAGGTTCCAATCCTACTCCAGGGGCTAAGCCTTTCTGTAGATCACATGGCCCTAGATGCATAATGAACTTAAGTTAAACTGTGCCAAGCTGCAGCTAACAGTGGTGTGATCTAAACGTTTTTGCTTTGTATGTTGTGGTATAGGCCATAGAAGAAAATGCCACAAAATCCATGTGTTATAAGTATGATGATGTAAGTATTTCAAACTAAATTTGCTGTCTATTATACACCTTATTCCAAAATGGTAGCAATACTACTTTTATTTCTGTTTATGTTAATTAGCCCTCTCTGCGTTTAAGGTGTATAGGATTCAACTTCCTTTTTCTACTCAAAATGTCAAGGCAGAGTGTCTTTGTATCATGCAGTCATAACAAAGTTTAAAATAACAATATAATAATTTTGAAAGTGTTTTCTTCTCTGCACACCAACATCCATAATTTATGACTGTAATATATCAAGCATCATACGCAGTGTTTCATCACCAGATGAAACACTGAGAAGAGAGTTGAAAATACGACAGGTAGTGGAGTATTTTTCACAAACTTCGAGGTGTTTCATCTGTTGATGAAACACTGTGTTGAATGCTTGATATTACTTCTCAAACAAAATGATTTTAGAAGGAGAAATTAAAGATGCAAAAATGAGCAGTTTTTCTTCTGATTTCCAAACACTCATTAAACATTAATTTCCTTTGTATTATCTTTTTGAATTAGTAATGAGTTTGAGAAGGAGTTTTGATACACTATTTTGTTTTAATGGAAAAGAAACAAGAGGCATTATTACACTTTAACTCATGCTAGCCTTTGACGACCTGAATAACGGAATTGTGATTCATGTTTCATTGAGTGTTTGTAATGCCTGAACCTGGAAAACTTTTTCTACTAGGAATACATGTATGAAAAAAAAACATACTTAAATGAATTTTTTGTTTAGAGTTGGCTTTTCTGTAAAAAGTCAAGAGAGAAAGGGTTTTTATTACAAAAATTGCTGACATCTACATCATTATGTATATAATTATATTTGTTTATTTCCTCTTTTTAGCCATTTGTTTGTGTACGAGACCCATTGCACTGTCATCACAGAGAGAACAGGTGAGTTAATTAAACATAAATAGTATTACTGCCATTGCATAGAGTTAAGCAGTCCTACCTCTAATGTAAGAAGACAAAGAAAACTTCGTAAGGATTAATAACAATTATTATTATTATTATTATTATTATTATTATTATTATACTTATAATTTATATTTATTATACTCCTAAATAGTATTAAGTAATGATCCGGGTAATGTGGATAGCAATTTCTTTTGTTATGTGGCAGCGGTGCTTCTCCCACATAGGAATGTTCTCATTTTTATACAGAGAATGCATAAACCTACATGAAGGCCGTTTAAGCAATAAAATGCATTTACACTCCACCCTGAAAGGGTGTTTTTTTGTGTTAAAAGATTTTGACCAATTACAAGAGTTGAAAACAATAGCCAAGAAAAGTTGACGATTTTACATGTTCCCCACATAGGATTTCTTTGTTATTCAAACTGAAACCAGATTTTGTTATATGGAAGATGGTTGGAAAGTAAGGATGAATATATGTACCGCTTTACGACGTTTTGTTAACTTTTGCTGTTTAAGCCAATCAGAATTAAGTACAGACAATAGAAAAGTTAGCACCTTTTTTGCATTCCAACATGTTCGTTGCCGCTGTTGCTATCATTCTTATCTGGACCGTATCTTAATAATTAATTAATTTATTATTAATGAGGTAGGGGTTAATTTTCAGTCCCTCCATGATGATTAATCAATTAATTATGAGTATACCACTTGTTGAGAATAAAATATGTTGGCTTAGCTGGCTGACATATCTTGCCAATCTTAATCTTGCATTTGTTTCCATGCAAAAAAAGAATTACCGGTTTCAGAGACTGTGTTGTAAAAGAGGAACAATAGTCATAATATACATGTATAAAGTTGTAACCTAAAAAATTATTTTCTCTTGTTTTCAGTGACATGAGATTTGTTACAAGGCCCCAGTATGGAGACTATAAATACCTTCCAAAGTCATTGTGGCTTAGTGTTGTTTTGGTGAGTACATACTTTTACATACTTGTGACACTAAGGGCCTGTTTAAATGGAGGTGAGGGTCCCTAGGGAGGTGAGGTAACCCACAGCAGGTCACCCCACCTGTCATGTAAACATGATCAAATTAAAATAAGAGATTATGTGGACAGACGGGTTACCTCACCTAAGCGGGTTACCTCACCTACCTGGGGTCCCCCACCTCCATGTAAACAGGCCCTAATTTTGCATTCAGACACAGAACCTTTTCCTTGAAAAGGGAAATTTTTTATCAGCAGTTTACTCTCAAACTCACAATGTTAGCTTCTGAATAATTGTTTTGTAGTGGACAAATCTACTCTGTGAAACTCAGTTTTTTAATCAATTCACTTACACAAAAATACAGGGACAAAGCAAAAAGAAATAATCATGATAATGATATAATCATGATAATAATAATAGTAAGAAAGAAAGAAAGAAAGAAAGAGAGGAAAAAGGTGCTAAAACAGAACAGTGCCAAATACAGTGGTTACAAATCCACTTAATTTTTACAGTGCTACTTAATTACAAATAGATGCTATTACATTTCCTTTAAGAATTGGTTAAGAGAATTTGTTTGCATATCAAAGCTTTTCCCATCAGGTGATTATTTTATTAATTCTCACAACTTTTTCCCTTCATTATGTATTGGTTTTGTTGGGAGAAAATTGACTTTAACTGAACTTGGCCACTATGTGGAGGTGTTCTTTGCCATTCTTAGTTCAACTCCACTACCATGCTTGAAAATAGCCTATTGGTTTGATTCTTGGCGATTGATTTTTTTCAGTTTTGTCCATTTTGACATTTCTTTGATTGTCCTAGAAAGGTTGATTTTAACTGTATGTATTTAAGCGATTTACAGTTTAACCTCCGCTAACCAACGGCCACCTCTCTTTCACAACCGCATTTTTATTCTCGCGATGGACAGTCCATACATTGACTCTTGTTAAAACCTCCCTACAACCGCCAGTTCTCCACAATTCAACCACTTTTTTCTGCCCCCAAGGTGACTGTATGTTGAGAAGAGGTTCAACTGTATTTCACTTCCCTCATCGGTGATATTATTTCACTCATTTTATCCCCACTTCATAGCATGGTGGAGTAGCATTCTTGTACCATCCATGTGCAAGACAAGATCTGATAGATCAGTTAAAAAGAATGGCTGTCAGCTGTCTTCACAGGCATGTCATTACACCCTATGAACGACTAAGCCCCTGCAAGGTAAACATTACTATTTTAATTCATAGCAAGCCACGAAACTGTCTGTGGACATTCTTTTCGAAACTGGGAGGCTATTTTTGTACATGGAAGGCCTTGAAGCATTAGCCATGATATATATTTGGCCCATTATCATTTAGACATTTTGTTTTAGATCTTAAAATTATTCTGTTTTCTGAGACTTGACTTCCTGAGGCTAATTAAACAAATTAATAATGATAAATATTGTTAATTGTATTATTGCAATTTGTGCTGGCAAAAGGGTGCTCCACTTACTTAAATTTCAGTACCCAATCTCATGTTTCTTAATGAGCAGAGTAATAGAGTGTATTCACTCACGTGGCCAGCATCTATGCAAATTTATAGGGACAAAAGAATTTTTTTTACTTAAGAAAAGAGTCCAACTCCCCAAGGATTTGTTTGGAACACCAATATGGCTGCCATGTCATTGTTTTGGAACACCAATATGGCTGCTGTGATGTCATGTGAATACGCTCTATTGCCTCGTATTCAGCCAGAATCTTCAAGGGTTGATTCATGTCTTTTCAACATACAATTTTTTACTAGTAACACTGTAATTAAAATGATTCACATAAATTCATTTGATCCTGAAGGTGACAAAATTTATCAATCCCTATATCTGTTATACTTCCATCTCTTAAATTCCCACTGGCCTCTTGGGTTTGCTTCTTTCGTGTTCATTCTAACTTCCTTGCTGACCATTTCATCTTTCTTTTTTTTTAAACTGTTTAGCCTATTGCCATGGTTGCCTGGAGCTGCTTTTACTCATCATCGGAGTTGAACATTTCAGAAGGAAAACTTTGGATCAGGGAGAAGGCCATGAGAGGTCCAGCAAGCCATGTGTCGGAAAATGGCCAGTATACTGATGGACTCATAAAGCCAGCAGCAACAGTTTCAGATAAGCTTGACACTAATCTTTGTCCAGCCAACATAAAGGTCTGTATTTATGGTCTATTTTGATCATCTTGTATATTTTTATGTATAGTAGTGTATGATATTGGGTTTGGAACAAAGAGAAATTATAAAAGAAAACAAAAATAAGATCGAACCACAGAATGTGCTTGGGTAGTGTACAGTAAGTACTGTTTATGAAAACGAGCAGGAGTGTATTATCAGGTTTAAAAACTCAAGGCGAAGCTGAGATTGTTTACACCTGATAGTATGCAACTGTGAGTTTTTTGAATGGCTTCAAAATCTCTGATATAGATCAACTCATTCTTGCACTGATATTTAGATTCGGGGTCATTTTGGTCTAAAAATTTTTGAGGTAAAGTTAAGCCGTGTCTTTATCAGATATAAAGACACTCATTAAACAGAAAATGTCTTTTGTTTTTTCTTTATGAATTATCAATGGGTTTTTGTACAAATATTTGCATCTTTATTACAATGAAATATGTTGTATTTATTGTAATGTTTGTTTGGATTGTAGGATGGTACTTTTCTCTACCATAGGCAGAAACCAAACATCAACAGGCAAACTTAAATGTCCTCTGTCACACAATTGATGTGGTTTGCCTGAACACTGACCGCGATAGCCCCTCCCCCTCTTCCCCCTTCTGTGCTCCTCATAAAAAAAATGAACTACTATAACACAAGTGACCACATTACAGTTGGCTGGAGATACTTCACTTGTGTCTTCCATAAGCTGTAGAAAAAGAAGTAAGAGGGATCTGGACGATGGGTTTGAAAGAGTGCTAATTAAACAGAATTGTTATGGGGAGGAAAGACACAGAGAGTTAGGTGACAGTTTTCAGTTACTCATGGTTTAAATTTCCCCTTCAACAGAGCAAAACTTGACAATTTTCTGACCTCAGTTTATTCTCTCATGCACTGATGACTACAGAATTTTGGTCCTAGGAAATTTTTCATACATACCTGGGTTTCTTTTGTTTGCCAACACGACAGTGTGTATCTTAGTGAATTTTCTGATACCATAGGCTTTCAGGCCTTCTAACAAGATAGGGAACTAGAGGGAAGGCTGAACAAATAAGCAAGAAAAAGGGTGCCAGGAGGAACATGATGATAGGGTGTGGTTTTAGGGAGCTCTGTTGACATCTTGCCCTCCACGCTTTAGACTATGATTAACATGATTGTCATCAATCATAAGATAAGTGAGTAATGTCGATATTGATTTGTTTTCAGTCTATGCTTCCTTTGTCACAAGAGCCCGAAAACAGTCATTCCCATGAAACACAACATGATCCATCTCAAAATGACTGGTCAAAACACAGTGGGAAGTCCATCTCGATACAAAATTCACAACTTGAAGAAGTAGTTATTGTGAATGAACAAATCTCAAACAATCGTAAAGTCGATACTTCTAATGCCGCTTGGGCCTTGGGGAGTTTGATTTTTCTCTGTGCAATTCTTGGTGGCATGTTGATCTACACACGGCCATGGAAAAACAGAGACCATTGGTGGAGAATGGACGATTATAATAGCAACACTAAATTCAGTTTCATGAAAACAAGAGGGTTTCGGTGGAAAAATAGAATGTCTCCAGGCAAAAGGACATCAGGGTATTCCCGTTTACTAACTGCTATTCCAGAGGAATTAGAAGATGATATCTAGCAACAAGAATATTTTATATTTATATCTAATAGTACTTGGGCCCAGTTGTTGGAAGAAATTTACAGATTTATCAACTCAAAATAACATTAGCCTGTGCACATTTAAGCTGGCTCATGCGTCATCCACTAAACCATTGGATAGTATGATGGTGTAGAGTGTCTTTGATGTAGGCTAAAATATGGGCAAAGCAGATTAATTTATGACACATCCTTCGGTGATGAATTTAGATTGAAGTTGGTCTAAATTTCAGCCTTGTCTGCATCAGATTTACACATTAATTTCTTTGTTGTTTCCTCCTTGATTTTAAGTGGATTTATGAAGTGTTGCAAGACACTATTCCACAGTCAACTCCTGCTCTCTTTAAAGATTATGCCACTTAAATCGCACCCCCCCCCCCAACTAAAATTGAAATTCAAGATGGGGGCAAAATTCTCTTTGTCAAGTTCCAACAGAGTATGACAAACAAACCACCTTGATTGCAGAAAGGGTGTATTAGGGAAATAATCATTGACAAGTGCACTCAGCAAGGACCTACAAGTTACGATCCATCTGACAAACATTTGAGAAAGGTTAAATATTGTGTAAGTGAAGCTTCTAATGTCAGACAAACAGCACATGGATTTTATACTTATTTAGTAGTCTCAACAAGGTTAGTGTTAGATGGGGCTATGTAGATGAGGAACATTGTTTTAAGGTTGAGATGGGAAGGGGGTACATGAACACTTCACCAGTCTTTATTTTTTCATGGAACATTGGGTCATATATTAAAGTGTACAATAGTTTTGACCACCTCCCTGATAGATGTCGCATTTTGGTGGTTATTTGCCTATAATTTTAGCAAACTCAAACCAAAGACCCCCTATGGCAGTTCTCCTTAAAGTTGACTATTTGTTTACTACAAAATGTCAACTTGTTCACGAGAATATACTGCTTATCCAAAGCTCATTTACAAAAAAATTAAATAATGTAAACATTATAATCACCAAACTCAAAGATTGCCTTGTTCGTGGAAATGTATTGCCTCTTGACTCCATGCAAGAATTTCTTTCAATCTCCTTTTTGAAATAAATCACCTTCCAAACAACATGATGTAATGGAGAACAAAACAAAAATGTCTCAGCTGGTACTGGGTAAAAAAAGATGTGAAATCAAATAATTTACTACTTAAGTATTATTATAATAGATTTATAGTTAAATTTAAAATGTAAGCATTTAATATTTATACCAGAACACCCATGTCATAGCTATTGTTGACTGTCCTTCACTGAAGAGGGAATAACTCTGAACCACACCTTTGCAAGTAGTGAATGGTCACAAAGAAAATATTTAACTTCGCAATTTTCATGTTCATTGTAGTGTCTCTAACAATACCTACACCTGCCACTGTTTAACAGGAGTGTGTCTGTCTTGCCCAGTCATATTTTCGATAAAACAGTGTGAAAATGTAAAAAAATATTTGTAACTTTAATTGTAAATACTAAATAACCTTCACTGTATTAGAATCGTTCAACATATAATCTTTTGGGTGAAAATTATTTTTATGAGTAAAAAGAAAACAACTCAACTAATTAATGGTGTCTGTATATATTTTCTCTCAAGGGAATATTCAAGGGCAAACCAAAATTATGTTATTCTCGTCTCAACATCTGAAATCACACTAATTTTAAGTAGCGAGAACATACTGATAGATACATAAGGCATCTTAAAATCGACAGCAACAGAAACATAATGTATTTTTAAGACAGCGGAACGCATGCTATAGATGTAGTATGCTCTTTTCTAGTTTTGAAACAGTTATAATTAATTCCTATGCCTACCCATAGTTCGTAAAAAAAGACTGGTTATGAAAGGGGGCAAACGTCCCGGCGGGTTACTTGAATAACTGGGTTCTCAGAACACCTACCTCATTGTAGTCTATTCTGTGGTCAAATATAGACCCCATCCTAGTCACCTTTAGGAAAACGTAGTTTTCGCGATCCTAACTTAGTAACTTTCTGTTTATGCATCTACCTTATAAAGCCTTTTGACTAAGTCATCCCGAAATGAATTGACACAGTGGTTAAACTTAATGAACTAAAAATCTTCCTATTTTTAAATCCTTACCCACCTAAATTTTATGATCCCCCAAATCCCGAAAATGTGCGATGACATTCTAGTAACTCTAATGAAAATGCAACCCTATTATAGTCAATGCGACCTGATCCATTTGCCTATTACTTGGGCGTACCGCCGGGGGGGGGGGGGGGGCAACAAANTCCAAATCCTTACCCCATTTCAGACCAAAAAAATTTCATTTTCCACACCCGTTTTCAGACCAGACCTCTAAAATCCATACCCATTTCCAGACCTGGCCTTTACGCAGAAATTATGTAATCATTTCTTTGATAAAAAGCGCAAACAAAAAAAAACATTTCTACAAATGCATTTTGAATTCGCATATTTCTACTTCTTTCTTATTCATTTGGAATTGAAACGATAAATTCGTTCACACACTCCAGTAATTCCCTCAAAAACCATACCCGATTCCAGACCAAAATGGGCAAAGTGTATACCCGTTTCAGACCAAAAATAGAATTAAACCCCTAAAGGAGATCAGACCAATCTGGGCGTGGCTCAGGGCTTTATTTTACCCCTAAGGAGAGAATATGAGAATATACCCCAACAAAGTATGGCGGCATTTCTACCCGTAAGCGAGACGACGAGCATCCCCGTCGCTTCCATAAAGGAATACCTCTTAGGGTAGTTAAAATAATACCAGAAGTTTACCGGGATCATGAAGGCTCCCTTCAATTCAGGATGTGTCTAGGTGGTGTTTAGAATCGGCTATTTTACAAAGGTAGTATTTCCGATTACGATTACCCTGTTAATACTCGCAAATTTAGCCCCACGAAGGGCATTGAACAGGTTAAGCGTGCGTAATACATATCTGCTTTTCTTTATATTTGAAAGGGGTGACTGGGTGGTATTGTCCAAAGTCTATTTTTTTTTCTTCGTTTGCCAAATTTCGCGATTCCTGAAAGCTTCAAGTCAAACTTTCGTAAATGCACGTCATTTTTCCGAACAAAGCTGGACTGTATTACATAATCGGGACAATCAACCCAGCATCCAACCTGCGATCAGGCGTTCTCACAGGCTACCCAACCACCAGCCCTCACCCTCAGGGAAAAGCGCCCTGGGGACGAGGTTGGCTCTCTCCCCGTCGGATGTCGCATTTTCTCGATCTCTCTCGCGTTGGGAGTGATTTTCACGCGCGTTCGCGTTTCGCTCGCTCTACTATCCCAGAGGAAAATTGGGGGACTACTCGCAGTCTAATTTGCGAAAGATGGCTGTTGTGCAGATAGCCTCTACGCGGAAGTATCAAATGTAATTCTACCATCGCTCAAGCAAAAACTTTAGTAAATGGACATCAAACAACTTTTAGTATTCAGTCATTGGTCCTGTCAGGAGTATCTCTACACATTTCAGCTTAAAATTAAACTGTAAAAACGTCACAAGGGGGGCCCCACAAGGGTGGTGTAAGGGCACTATTATTGGAGAGGAAATTTGATAATAATGGGGCAAAATATTCCTGTGCCTCTAATGGAAAAACCTAAATACGTGAGATAAGCATAACCTTTTCCTCTCATGCAAGGAATTACATCCAGTGATATCACGTGAATGGGCTCAGGTTTTCCTGAAAAGTATGTATGATTTATACCCCATCCCCTCTCTAACAGATGCGAAACTGGGTCTGATTAAGTATACGCGTTGAGATCTGACTAGAGTTCATTCAAAGGCGGAAATGCTGTGCTGTTCATACGTGACTGATCCTTATTATAAGAGTTGCAGCAATTATATTCTATTGACTTACTTGCTTCACTGAAGGTATGTTACAATTTACTTATGAATATATGCTAAGATCAGGCTTATTGTTTTAAGACAAAACAGAGGCCATGATGTTTAGATTCGCTCAAGTTCAATGCTCTCTGAGTGAATTTAATATGGAGGCATGAAACCATTAGGAAAGTAGGGAGTCTGCGGATGAAATTCTATGATTTGACCATTCCAAAACAATCTCCTTCACAGTATTTTGTTCTCTTACTAAAGTGTCATTTTAAAGAGGTTGAATTTTTCTGGGATTGATTTTCGTAGACGGTTATTAAAGATTTTTCATTCTTTGAACACTGAAATACCGGAAAATTAAAAAAAATTATGACAATGAATACCAAGTCAGCATCTCGGTATCTTCCGCGGCATTTCGATCGTTTTATAATGGCCGATAACTTCTGCTGAGGCTTCTGTGGACACGCAGGTGTTTAGATATCTTACTCCAGCCAGATAGTTAAACATATATTTGACACAGATTGAATCTAAAGTTTTAACCCTGACGTTATTTGTTCTTAGGACGTCTTATAACCCTGTTTGCCCGGCAGGAAATATTTTCATGATCATGATTTGATGATAGAAAGTCTAGCTTCAAGTATTTAATAAATTCGTGGGTAATTTTGGCAACAGTCAGAACAGTAGAACATGGGAAACGCAAACAGTTCCAAACATGTCTTTTGCAGTAGTAATTTGGGAATGAAATTCGCTCAAATTTCCGCAAGCTTTAGCTATTTGCGGTCAAAATGGTTGCCCATAATAAGACCTCAGAAATCGTGTGTTATGTGTTATGTGAGGCTTGGACTGATGACTCATTGATAACGTCTTTCCGTTTGGTCACAGGTTTATGACCGATGATCACTAAATATAATCTGTTGCTGCGACTCAGCTGGCTCCCCATTAAACCAAAATGAAAAAAGCCCGCTCGATACAAAAAGCTTCCGCACAGTTGAAATTTATTCTGGGGGTTAGAGTGGCTATCTTGAGTTGGTCCTGTTTGACTGGTCTATCCGGTTTAACCGGAACTTAGACTTTCACTTTCACAATTGGGGTAATCTCGGACGTATAAATCTGTGATCTCTCTCTCTTTTTTCCCCAACAAAACTGTGTACTCCGTGTGTCAGTCGAATCGTCTTTTT